CGCTGTTGTTGTTAGGTGCCATCAAGTCGGTTCCGACTCAGACCCTATGTGCAATAGAATGAAACACTGCCCAGTCCTGCACCATCCTCACAGTCTTTGCTGTGTTTGAGCCCATTGTAGCAGCCACTGTGTCAGTCCCTCTCATTGAAGACCTTCCTCTTTTTTGCTGACCCTTTACTAGTCATGATGTCCTTCTCCAGGATTGGTCCCTCCTGATGACATGTCCACAGTACATGAGACGAAGTCTCACCATCCTCATTTCTAAGGAGCATTCTGGCTGTACTTCTTCCAGGACAGATTTGTTCATTCTTCTGGCAGTCCATGGTATATTAAGTATTCTTTGCCAACACTTTAATTCAAAGGCATCAATTCTTTGGTCTTCCTTATTCATTATCCAGCTTTTGCATGCATATGAGGCAATTGAAAATACCATGGTGTCATAGATTGAATTATGTCCCCCCCTAAAATGTGTGTATCAATTTGACTAGGCCATGATTCCTGGTATTCTGTGGTTGTCCTCCATTTTGTGATTGTAATTTTACATTAAAGAGGATTAGGGTGGGATTGTAACACCACCCTTACCCAGGTCACATTCCTCATCCAATGTAAAGGGAGTTTCCCTGGGCTGTGGCCTGTACCACCTTTTACCTCTCAAGAGATAAAAGGAAAGGGAAGCAAGCAGAGTGGGAGACCTCATACCACCAAGAAAGCAGTGCCAGGAGCAGAGCACATTCTTTGGACCCGAGGTTCCTGTGCTGAGATGCTCCCAGATCAAGGAAAGACTGATGACAACCAGGACCTTCCTCTAGAGCTGACAGAGAGATAAAGCCTTCCCCTGGAGCTGACGCCCTGAATTTGGACTTGTGGCCTACTAGACTGTGAGGAAATTAATTTCTCTTTGTTAAAGCCATCCACTTGTGGTATTTCTGTTATAGCAGCACAAGATGACTAAGACACATGGCCTGGGTCAGGCACACCTTTGTCCTCAAAGTGACATCTTTGCTTTTGAACACTTTAAAGAGTTCTTTTGCAGCAGATTTGCTCAATGCGATATGTTGTTTGATTTCCTGACTGCTGCTTCCATGGGTGTTGATTGTGGATCCAAGTAAAATGAAATCTTTGACAGCTCCAATATTTTCTCCGTTTATCATGACGTTGCTTATTGGTCCAGTTGTGAGGAGTTTTTGTTTGTTTTCTTTTTTCTTTATTTTGTTGTTGTTGTTAAGATACACAGCAAAACATACACCAATTTAGTAGTTTCTACATGTACAATTTAGTGACATTGATTATATTCTTCGAGTTGTGCAACTATCCTCACTCTCCTTTTCTGAGTTGTTCCTCTCTCATTAACTCACTGCCCCCTAAGGTTCCTATCTAATCTGTAGAGTTGCTGTTGTCAATTTGATCCAATAGAGATAGTTCTTAAAAGAAAGCATAATGCTCAAGGCAAACCTTTTTTACTAGTTAAGCTAAACTGTTGTTTGGCTTTAAGATTATTTCAGGGGATATTTTTGGTTTAAGGTTTAAAGATTATCTCAGGGAGGAGTCTGTACAATAGCTAAAACTTCTTGTACATGGATTAATTCCACTGGACAAGTTGAACAAGCTGTGACCAAAATCCAACAATATCTCGGGTTTATCCACACTCCATGGTTCCAGAAAGTCTGGAGTCCATGAGAGTTTGAAATTCTGTTCTGCATTTTTCCCCTTTTGATCAGAATTCTTATATGGAATCTTTGATCAAAATTTTCAGTAATGGTAGCTGGGCACCATCCAGTTCTTCTGTCTCATGGCAAAGGCGGCAACTGTTCATGGAGGCAATTAGCCACACGTTCCATATCGTCCTCCTATTCCTGACTCTCCTTTTTCCTCTAGAGACCAGTTGTTGTGCCTTGAATGGCAACTTGCAAGCTTTTAAGACCCCAGGCACTATTCAGAGAACTAGGAGATAGAACAGAAGCATTAAACACGTTATTAGGCCAATTAACTGGAATGTCCCATGAAACCATGACCTTAAACCTCCAAACCAAGGAACCAAATCCCGTGACATGTTGGTTTGTACATAAGCAGCCTCAGCAGCTTTTTTTTTTTTTCCTTTGTTTGTGCTTTAGGTGAAAAGTTTGCAGCTGAAGTTAATTTCTTATTCAAAAATTTATACACATAGTGTTTGTGACATTGGTTACAATCCCCACAATGTGACAGCATGTTCCCCCTTTCCACCCCAGGTTCCCTGTGTCCGTTCAACCAGTTCCTGTCCCTTCTTGCCTTCCTGTCTTTTGGGCAGGAGTTGCCCATTTGGTCTCATATATTTGATTGAAATAAGAAGCACAGTCCTCAAACGTATGTTATTGTTTTATAGGCTTGTCTAATCTTTGTCTGAAAAGTAGGCTTTGGGAGTGGTTTCAGTTCTGTTAGCAGAGTGTCTGGGAACCGTATTCTCAGGGGTTCCTCTAGTCTCTGTCAGACCAGTAAGTCTGGTCTTTTTTCATGAATTTGAATTCTGTTCTATATTTTTCTCCCATTCTGTCCGGGACCCTCTATTGTGATCCTTGCCAGAACGGCTGGTGGTGGTAGCTGGGCACCATCTAGTTCTGGGCTTAGGCTGGTGGAAGCTGTGGTTCATGAGGTCTTTTAGTCCTTTGGGTAGCTATTCTTTTGTTGTTGTTGTAAATATATCTGTCACACAACTTTTGCAAATTCAACTTTTTACAGGTGTACAGCTTATTGACAGCACTTAGAACAGTTGGCTATGCAACCCTATCCTTAATTAATGTGAGTTTTCCATCACTGTAAACAAACTCAGTACTCCATAAGCAATAACTTTCCCTTTCCCCCTCCCTCCCGCCCCTGGTAACCACTGATAAACTTTGGTCTCTATACATTTGCCTTTTCTTGTCTTTGCATATATGTGAGAGCGTATGATATTTGTCCTTTTGTGATTGGCTTATTTCACTCAGCATAATGTCATCAAACTTCTTTGCTTATTAACACTTTGAACAGGTCTTTTGCAACAGATTTGCCCAATGCAATATGTTGTTTGATTTCTCGACTGCTGCTTCTATGGGTGTTGATTGTGGATCCAAGTAAAATGAATTCCTCAACAACTTCAGTATTTTCTCTGTATATCATGATGTTGCTTATTGGTCTAGTCATGAGCATTTTTGTTTTCTTTATGTTGAGATGTAGTCCATACTGAAGGCTGTAGTCTTTGATCTTCATCAGTAAGTGCTTCAAGTCCTCTTTGCTTTCAGCAAGCAGTGTTGTATCATCTGCATATCACAAGTTGTTAATGAGTCTTTCTCCAATCCTGATGCCATGTTCTTCTTGATATAGTCCAGTTTCTTGGATTATTTGCTCAGCATACAGATTAAATAAGTATGGTGAAAGGATACAACCCTGATACACACCTTTCCTTTTTTAAACCACACAGTATCCCCTCGTTCTGTTTGAATGACTGTCTCTTAGTCTCTGTATAGATTCCGTCCACATGAGCACAATTAATTGTTCTGGAATTCCCAATCTTTGCAATGATGTCCAAAATTTGCTATGATCCACACAGTTGAATGGCTTTGCATAGTCAATAAAACACAGGTAAATATCTTAAATATCTTTCTGGTATTCTCTGCATTCAGCCAAGATCCATCCGACATCAGCAGTGTTATCCCTCCTTCCATGTCCTCTTCTGAATCAGCTTGAATTTCTGGCAGTTCCCTGTAGATGTACTGCTGCAGCCATTTTTGAGTTATCTTCAGCAAAATTTTACCTGCTTGTGATATTAATGATATTGTTTGATAATTTCCACATTCTGCGTTTTGGTTTTTTATATATATATGTAAAATGTCTTAAGATAAACTCCTCCACTTATTGATTTTTTTTTCTTAACCTTTCCTTGTCTCCAGCTAAAATGCATTCTTATTAAACCATAGGGAGCAGTACCCAAAGGGAACGCTACAAAGGAGTACATGGAGAGCCTGCAGCTGAAGCCGGGCGAGGTCATCTACAAGTGCCCCAAGTGCTGCTGTATCAAGCCCGAGCGTGCGCACCATTGCAGGTACCCACTGCTCTGGTGGGCTTGCGCGGCACCGCTTCTGCTGTCCACAGGCTGTGCCTGTGAGGGGCCTGGGCAGCACCGCATGACTGCAGTGGGGCATGAACCTGGGCTGTGTTCACAATCATAGGTGTCCTTTCCTTTCCACCATAGAGAGTTAAGTCCAAGGTCCAGTGCCAGCTGAAGGCCTCCGAGCTTGTCAGCAGTTCTCAAACAGTGCAGGCTTGGGGTCCCTTTCAGCCAGAGGGGACTCACCATAGGCCATGGCCAGAGGAAGTGATGTAGCAGCCACCTCTGTTTTGATGACACAGCTGCCACAGGCTGGTGTCCATGTCCTCAGCATTTATTGGGCATGTCCTGCGATGACTCCAGCAGAAATGTTTAGCCTCCTTGTCTTCCCCATGGCCATTTGCCCTGCATCTGGGTCTCCCAGCCAGGTATGTAGGGGGATTTTTGTATGTTCACTTTTGCCCCGACCTGGTGTGGCATTGCCATGTGAGACATTAACATCTGACAGTCTGGATCGATTTCTCTCACTCTTTGCAGTCGTGGTTACAAGTCCCTCCTCCTGTCCTTCCAGTGAAGGAGAAGAGCTGTGCTTAGAGCCTTTCTCATGGTGGGTGTCACTTGCTTAGATAAGCAAGTGAGGCTGAGCCAGAAGTCATTTGATGGAGAAAACAGAAAGCGAGGGAGTTTCATCTAGTTGATGGCCAGGAAAAGTTTTCAAAGGTTCATTTTCACACAGTTGGGCCAGAAAGTTAAAAAAAAGATGAAATACTAGAAAGGAGATGAGTACTTACCTGGGGCCGGGGCTGGGGGCGGGAGTGGGGAGTGACCGCTAATGGCATGGGACCTCTTTCTGGGGTGATGGAAGTGTTCTACAGTCATATTGGGGTGATAGTTGCACAACTCTGCAAATATACTAAAAACCATTGAATCGTACATGTAAAATGGTGGGTTTTTATGGTATGTAAAGGATACTCCCATAAAGCTGCTATAAAAAGATGAAATGGGAAAGTTTTGAAAATTACTAGAGTAACAGAGGCAGTAGAAATCGTGCTGGGAAGTCACCTACAGGTGCCCCAAGTGCTGCTACATCAAGCCAGAGTGCACACACCCCTGCAGGTACCCACTGCCCTGAGACTTCCCCTGAAGTCGGAAGTTCCGTTTTTGTTTTTTGTTGGAGTAGACTTACAACCTGCAGGCTTGTGAAATTGGGAACAATATTAATATGTGTGCCAGTGAACCAAAAGGTGATGCTATCACAGACTGTATACCTGGAGTTAAAGAGATCTGCTATCATAGGTGTTCAGCTTGTTGTAGTCAAAAGTGCAAGCTATTTCTAAAAAATAATTGATATTAAGTTAGCTGTTTTAGCTGTTTAAAATCTGAGGTATGGAATATTTTGGGCAAAGAAAATGCAACTGTAAAAACAACTTTATGTATGGGTCTGTAGTTGAGTGACTGCAGACGAATGTGGATTGAGTGGTAGAAATCCTTTGACGATACCGAGAATTTTTCTTTCCCTGAAGGTTTAAGTTCCATTTTTGTTTTTTACTAGACTTATAGCCTGCAAGCTTGTAAAATTGGGAACGATACTGATAATGTGTGCACAGTCCAATTCTAGTGGGAGAGTCTGAAAACTTACAAAATACAAAATATGGTTCAGCGTAACTTTTAGGCGCTAAACCTGCTATTCTACCAAATGTTCTCCTTAGGAAGCAAAGACATTTGGATTAATTCAGAACCATCACCTTTAAATCAGTGTAGTCAGTCTGTATTGTGGATATTGTTCTGACATGATAAATTAGAATATGTACTCTAATTTGTCCAGTCTCTAGTTTTATTTGGTTATCTTCCTCTGTTTTCCTCAGAGCCTGGGACACTAACACCAGACCTCTCCTTTTCAGTATTTGTAAGAGGTGCATCCGGAAAATGGACCACCACTGCCCCTGGGTGAACAACTGTGTGGGAGAGAAGAATCAGAGGTTTTTTGTGCTCTTCACTGTGAGTAAAAATATGTTTGTAGTGACTTGTATCAAATGTGGAACTCTAACTAGACTCTTGCCTGGATTAGGGACATTTATTCTGACATCAGATGGGTCTCCTTTGCCAGCCGTTTCCCTAGGATACAGACTGACACTGGGCTGTGTTGCTAGAAGGTGGTCTAGTAGGTGGTGTTTGTATTGTTATAGATGTTTGCTGTGGCTTAATTCTCTCTCCAGTGCTTTAAAGCACCATTGTTAATAGGATCTTCCTGAAGTGTTTTGTAACTTATTTCTCTCCTGTGTACTTTTCTATAAAATTATTTTATGTGGCCCAATATGATCTTCTCTAGGCAGCTGTAACTACTGCAGTTTATTCCTTCACTCATTAACTTTTATTGACAAATGAAGTGGAGTGAACATAATACTGATCAGTCTTCATTCCTAGAAATACTCAGTTGCTTACAAGTCACTAACCGATTTCCCCGTTGTTCTAGATGTACATAGCTCTGTCTTCAGTCCATGCTCTGATTCTCTGTGGATTTCAGTTTTTTTCCTGTGTCCGAGGGCAGTGGACGGGTAAGTGGATGTTTTGTGTGTCAGTCGTAGAAGTGTGTGCTCTTGGGTGAAGAGGGAAAAGCTTTAAAGGAAGAAGTGATTTTCCAGTTTTAAAGGAGATTCTTGCAGTTACTTCAGGAATTCATCAAATTATTGTATTTTAGAAAAGAATATGGTTAAGCCGTAACATGACTAGCCATTTTGCTAGTATAGTGAAGCCATATAACTTCTTCTTTAACCAATTACATGAATAATTTCTACTACCCATTGCCGTCAAGTCGTTTCTGACTCATAGCAACCCTATAGCACAGAGTAGAACTGCCCCCGTAGGGTTTCTAAGACTATAGTCTTTATGGAAGCAGACTGCCACATTTTTCTCCTCTGGAGTGGCTGGTAGGTTCGAACCACCAACCTTTCAGTCAGCAGCTGAGCGCTTAACCACTGTGCTACCAGGGCTCCTTCTAATTTCTACTAAGTAATTTTATTTACATCTTGCAGATTTTGAGACAAGGGGGAAATTAGTATTATTCTCACTGAACTTTGTCTTTGATTTCTGGTTATCTAGCTAACCATTGCTGACTAATCCTTTGCATTACTTAGTATGAGTGAGCACGTGGAGTCATTGCTGGATTGATTGTCCGGCTGTAGATGTGCAGACGGTCAGTGCAGATCCTCACATCCTGGGGGTGGGCAGGGATAGTCTCCCACGTGTATCCCCCCTGCAGAGATCATGCACAAGTGTAGGTAAGCATGGCTATTTCCTGGTTTTAATTGGGTGTGATAAGCAACTTAACATACGCTTGCAGAGTTGATAGAAATCACAGTTAGTGAGGAATCTTTTGGGACTGCTGGTCAGGAAACAGTGGTGTGAATTTTTTTTCCGGAAGGGCTGGCCTCCTTTGCTCCTTGGTGAACAACGAAGGTGTCTGCTTATAAAACAAGGACATTCTTCCACTGAGCTGGATGGAGGGTTGCCTGGGCATGGGGTGATTTCTTGCCCAAGTCACATACCTGGTGCTCTGTGGTTTGGGACGTTCGTTGTGCTCTCATGTCCAGCTATAACGCACTTTCTCTTGTTCACAGAATGCAGTGATTTTTCACCACCAATAACTGTAATCCTGTTGATCTTCTTGTGCCTTGAGGGTCTTCTGTTTTTCACTTTCACTGCAGTTATGTTTGGCACCCAGATCCACTCGATATGCAATGATGAAACGGTACGCTTCCTTCTCTGCTGTCTGCCTAGGGTTTGGTGAGAGGCCAGGTGAATGGGAAGTACTGATGTCCATAACTGGTGCATGTGTCTGAACTCAGGAGATTAATTGGATGACTTCAATAAGCTTAGACCAGTTCACTGCATTCGTTGTTACTTTTATTATGCACAGAGTGTATTTTAAGTATTGGTTTGATTTGAAAGTCAACAGAGCCAGACAAATAGAGCCAGCAAATTCCCAGATTCTAGGACACCCAGCCCCCTGTAGCAGGTAAGTGAGTTCAGGGATCGAGTGCTTTCTTGCCCTTCACACGCAGGTCTAGAGTAGGCACTCGGTAAATATTTGTGCAGAGTAACGAATGAATAAAAGTGTTGGTGCCCTTGTGCAGAGAACCAGCTCCCTCCTGCTACCCTTGTGGCTGTCTGAGTTGTTGCCCCAGCTTGTGTCCCACGCAGCCCTTCTGTCCTCTGTCCCATCTTGCCTTCTCTGCTATTGGTCTGGCCAACGGCTGCAGCCCGGCTGTGCTCGCAGAGGCTGTGTGGGGTCTGGGTCAGGGATGAAGCAGGAACTCAGTGACTCTCCCACTCTTGTATGTGTGAAACGCAGGCCAGTCTGCAGGTACCGAGAGCAGGAGGCCAGCCAGCTACTTTGTAAATATATGGAATTCTTGCTTTGAACTTACATCTACTTACTTGGCGTAATGCCCTTGGTACTTGTGTTCTCCAGACACCTCTTTCCACTTTCTCCATGCTGTTTATTTGGGTTTTAGAGGAGGGTTGATAAATAATAACCGTTTCCGTCTCCGAGTTTGGAACAAGATACATATCTCAAACATTTATCAAAGAAACTCTAAGAGTCTGTAGTATTGGGTGTTGATGAAGTGCTCCAGCTCTTTTATCCTACCCTAACTAAGGATGGGAACATGCGCCCTAACTCCACTCTTTCTGCCCATAGTGTAAGCGCCAGGGAGCATGTCCAGCAGAAGGGTCTTGGGTGGTGTGGGAGCAGGGAAGCCCTTCTGTTTGGGAGTGCAGTCAAAGTACATAGGGAGGTGTTTCAAAAATACTGTCAATTGAAGCACTTCCCTCAGTTATATCAATTTAGAAGGTATTTCTTTGTTGAAAGTTGAACATGTATGAAGAGATGTATGAAGAGATTTGGCTCTGGTATGTACAGAAAGAGCTTTCCAGCACCTGGCATGTGGTTACCTGTGTGGCTGTTTGGGCCCCTTCACTGCAGGTGATCATGCAGAGCTGTACTTGTCAGAGTATTTAGGAGGAGTGGGCTGCAGATTAAACCAGGAAGTCACTGGTTACCAGTGACTACCTTGGTTAGCTTTGTGGGCCTGGCCCCGCTGTAGTATATGTGTGTTCATCCCCTTCGCAGTTGGCGCTCTTATTGCCGCATTGTATAGATGAGAAAAGAGGCACTGAAGGGTTAAGTCACTTGTCCAGGGGCCCACAGTTAGCAGCTAATTGGTCTGAATTGGCCCCTAGCTATCTGGCTAGGTGCCCTCAATCCGCTGGCCTCTGTGGTTCAGTTTGGGGCTCCCATCATTACCCTGGAAGGTGGTGTATGGCCATGTCCCTGTGGGACAGTGTTTCTCAAGGTAGCAGCACAGTCAGATCACTTGGGGCCCTACCCTAAGCTGACCGAATGTGAACCTTGGGGAGGTAGGGCCCAGGTGTATCAGTACATTTTAGATGCTTTGAGTCTGCAGCCTCCTCTGCAGGGCTGTCTCCTTCTTAAGGTCCTTATGTGGGAGCAGCATTGACACTGGGCACATTCTCAGGCTGTGCACCACCCCCATGTGGCACAGGCGCCCACCCACACAGCCTTCTCAGGATTCCATGCTCCAGAGCTCAACAGTGGGATCTTAGTAATACCCTGTTAGGATAAGGCCTTATTCATTCTGTTTGGGGTGTCAGGGAACATCTTTGTTTCAATGTGGGATTCCTTTTTCTCTGGGCATGAGTGTATCTTCTAAATTTAAGCAGAAATCATTCAGAAAATTGTAAAATCAGGTGCAGACTTGATTATCCATCTAATGCATTTGTTACTAGCCTGTGTGGGTGGCATGTCTGAGGAAGACAGTGGGCCTCTGTAGAAAAACACAGACGCCTGTTCGAACTAGTTGGCTGTCAAGTGTGAGGTGGTTCCTGGGACACGCTAGGTTGCATGTTTTTATCCCCAGTGCTCTGTGACAAGAATGTCATGTTTATTGAAGCCCAGGGGACCAAGAGTTGTGTTAGAAAGAATACAGCTAGATAAAGCCCAGTGTTGGCTAAGAGCCCACCCAGGGGAACACTTTCATGAGGAAAGTTTTTGTAGAAAGCCCCTTACGCTTGTGACTCAGGATGTTACTTAGGAAATGGGGCTGACTGCCATGTGGTTGCCTCCGATATGAAGCATTGTTGATGGAAGCTGATAGGAGGCTCCAGGTGGCCTGAGTAAGGCCCAGGGTCTTTATTAGCAGTGACAGTGAGCTGCTTGCCCACAGAGTTTTTCCTGTGTTCTAGGGGGCTTGGCCTGCAGCAGGTGGTTTTGGTCTGTCTTCATGCCCGGTGGAGGGTGCTGACCGAGCTCCACAGTGACGGGCAGGCATGGAGTTCACACTGCCCTAGACCCTCAACGTCTTACCTGCCTTGTCCGCCCCACCTGAGAGGGACCCACCCAAATTTCCATCTTAGCAACTGTGTCTTTTCAGGAACATGCCTTTTCTAATTCGGAAAGAACTAGAACATTCCATCAAGCGATATACAGTCAGAAAGGGCAGGAGTAACAAGAGTAGTCAGCGTTCACTGAACCTTGCCCTCTGCCTGGCCCAGGTGTGATAGCTGCCAAAGCTCACACTGGTCAGATTGCTGGAGCCAGGGGGGGGCCTACTCTGCCACTTACTCAGAGCCCACACTTTTCTTCAGTTCTTCCTCCTAAAATGAAACAGCATACTGCAGTTTGAGGGTATTGCCCTTTTGAACCACTCGGCCGAGCCTGTGTCTGTCAGGGGTGCTGCCAACCTCTTGCTTTTCTTTTGCCTCCAGGAGATCGAGAGACTGAAAAGCGAAAAGCCCACGTGGGAGCGGAGGCTTCGCTGGGAAGGGATGAAGTCTGTCTTTGGGGGTCCCCCCTCACTCCTCTGGATGAATCCCTTCGTAGGATTCCGATTCAGGCGGCTGCAGACAAGAACCAGGAAAGGAGGCCCAGAGTTCTCTGTTTAAGTCCGCTCATCATGCTGGAACTTGTTCACGTACTTTAAATTATTTATTTGGGGTCTGAAAGGGTATCAGCGCTCATCTGTGACCAGTAGGACAAACTGAACCTACACAAACAAATTGCTTGCAGCAAGCAGAGTTTTATATATTTATAGTCACAGATGGCAGATTTTCCAAACCAATAACTGGATGATACTCTGACCAGTGTTCACCTGTATGACTGATGCATGGGGTGTGGCTACACCAGGAAGCCAGTTGTCATTATCTTCCTGCACAGTTAGGATTTTTGTTAAGAATACTTTGCATTTTATAAGAAGCTCTTTGGGATATTATATGGGTTATTACAGTCCTGTGAATGAGCTGCATTTTTCAGTCATGAGGAAGATAAAAACCAATCTGGTAAACACAAATTCCCAGACTGGCCACTCCAGGGAGTCCCTGTTTACTCAGGATTCATGAGTGCTCCCCGTGATCATAGTGGGGCATTTACATAGAAACACATCTTGGTCTTGATTCGCTGTGACATTTTCTTTGCACTGAAGTTGCAAAAGATCTGTGTGCCCAGAGCAGCCCCGGCGGGCTCCAGGTCCATGCCCACCACCCCGAGAAGCGGCATTCTTTAACCCTTTCAGCACATCCTGTGTGCGTGCGTGTATGTGCGTGTGCTGCACTTGTGTTTTGAAACTAGCGGTGTTGTTGAGATGATAAAATGTTGAGTGGCTGTGAACAGCAAACAAGCTATTTTTTAGAAACCAACATTTCAGGGAAGAGGGGCGAGCTGCTATGGTGCCCTCCTCCGGCGGGCTCACTCTGAATGAGCTGCTGCAGTGCCCTCCTCCGGCGGGCTCACTCTGAATGTATTGCAGGTTGGAGAATATCTCGATCCAAAGAACAGTCATTCCCGTGTGGTCCTGTGTTTTCCTCCCGTTTTCATTTTATTTTCAAATCTTGAGTGCGTGAGGGCCTTGGAATGAATTTTTTTGTCCCCAAGTGAGCAGTATATAACTGGCACCCTCAGTAAGAGAAGAGAAAAACCTCATGGTGGCCTCGAACTTTGTGTAGCTCCACGATGTGATGCTGTCATCAGTGTGCAGGAGGAGGGAGGCATGCCAGCAGTGAAACACCACAAGAAACAAGGTGTTTGCCTGTTGACACCTCTGAGAAGGGGAGGGGACCGCAAGGCCACTTGCCCGGTAACAGGGACAACTTTGTGCCTTGGTTGCAGGTGACAGTGGAAGACAGGTATGAAAGCACTGAGCCAGTGAAGAATATTCAGAGTGAGAACAGCCTGTTTGATCTTAGATGTCATTTATGTTTGCTTTTCTACCCACCTCACAAGTGATAAAATAGGAACCTTGATGCAGAACTTAAAATCATGCCAGAAAGCAAATGCTCCCCGCTTGGGGGACTTGCCTTAACCCTACCTGGTTTGTGCATTCTTTGCGAGATGCATCGAGAAGCAATCGATAGCAAATTCCGGAGGTCTTCGTTTGAGTTCGCTTCCCACACTAAGAAAAACTGGTGTTTCCCTCCTGTTCTGTTTATCTGTGGACTGTTTTATTATTTTTTAAATTAATCTGTACCCTATCCTAATCAGGACTTATACCACTGTTGATGCAAAATCACAAAGGGACCTACTTGATTCACCATTGGTAGCCAAGTGAACAAAACCGTGTGATGATTTTGAAATGGAACAAATCACTACGGAAATGTGCGAGCTATTGGGAATGGACGTCACAGCCAGAGGAACAAGAGCACCTGTTGTGGGTGATCAGGAGATTGTCTTGCATATCCATTTGCACATCTGTTGTCTGGATTGGACATGTATATTGGGCTTCAATGTGAGGCTTTTAATATGTATATCCTGTTTATCAATAAACAAATTATCTAAGTGGTCAAATCCTGTAACACTTGGCAAGTTTGTGCAAGTCAAGTATACTTGCCTTTTCAGCCTCTTCTTTCAGTGTAACTTTTATATGAAATAAAGTAACCAATTGATAGTTCTCAGAGAATTGATGAGGTGGCAGAAGTTCTTCATGGATGTCAGTGCATCTTCGGTGGCTGGTCTACCCTTTCCTTTCCTCGGTACTATCCTTAGCCCCCCGGCTGTCCTAGCCAGGTCTGTGCTGTTTCCCGACCTCTGAGTGCTTTAGTGCACTGATGAATGGCTCCAGTGTCCCCTCCAAACCCTAGTCAGTCAGGCACTACTCTCCCCGACTTGCCACACCCACACCCCACTGTTTTCTGGCTGTTTGACTTTAAGTTGACTTCCATCCAGTGTCTTCGTTATCTAGTGCTACTGTAACAGAAATAACCACATGTGGGTGACTAACAAACAGAAATTTATTCTCTCACAGTTAAGCTAGAAGTCTGAATTCAGAACTCTGGCTTTAGGGGGAAGTCTTTCTCTCTCTGTCAGCTCTGGAGGAAGGTTCTTTTCTGAGCTTCTGCTCTTGAGCAGTTTTTATGTGGCTTGGCATCTCTCTTTCCTCATCTCTTCTCTCTCACTTGTTTTAATCTCTTATATCTCAAAAGAGATTGAAGACACACCCTACAATGATCCTGCCTCATTAACAACAGAGACAACCTATTCCTAAATGAGATTATAACCACAGGCATAGATGTTAGGATTTACAGCACATATTTTGGGGGGACGTAATTCAATCCATAACATTCCACCTGTTGGCCCCCAAAATTCATGTCCTTCCCACGTGCAAAACACATTTACCCCATCACATCACCCCAAAAATCTTAAACCAACTCCAGGTCTAAAATCTCATCCTCTGAATCATCTAAATCAAATATGGGTGAGGAGGTGGGGCCAAGATGGCGGAGTAGTCAAACGCTTCCTCTGGTCCCTCTTACAACAAAGACTTGAAAGAATAAGTGAATTGATTATATATGACAATATAGGAGCCCTGAACATCAAAGACAAAGTTGAGGAATCGGACTTAGCAGCAGCGGGAGGGAGAAATAATTCAGAAGCAGCGAGGAGTTGCCATACCTGACCTGGCTGGCACTGGCATTCTTAAGGCTAGATCGGCTAGCGCACCAAGGGTGAGGCTAGCAGTGGTGCTTGAGATGCGTTTTCCACATGGGAAGAGACCAAGCGGCAGAGAGTCTGCTTAACTCTCCAGAACTAGCGAGAAACGGCACTCAGTTGACAAAAGGTAAGTACAAGCATCTAACCTACCATGTGGATCAAACTCCTTCCCCCTCTTTTGGGAAGTCCCTCTCTCCCACGTACCTGGCCCTTCCCCACTTCGCTCCGGGTCCTGGTCTGGCTTCAGTGATTGCTGTGCCCCCTCATCCGGAAGTAGGACCCGTTGCATGCCCTGAGCCATTCTCCCGGATTTGGCAAGGGAACAAATTAACAAATAGGAAAAAATAATCTGCTAGCTCCCCTAAGTTGGGAACTCAGGGCAGGCACAGCCCCTTTGTCTAGGCACAGGCATAAGGGGTCCACGGACTTTGCCTTTCACCCTTACATAGACCTGTATGGGTCCATTTCAACAGTGTAGGCCCTTACTAGCACAGTACAGCAGGGTATATACCTGAAGCCTGTTTTCATCTGTGTCAGCCATAAGGTGGAGTGGCAGATTAATGGCATTTGACACTGCCCTGCCCATTAAGCAGGGTCATCACCTACCCACATCAGGGGCCTGAGGACTGGTGGCTTCACCCACTCCACTGAGCCACCTGCAACAGGAGTCCAAGAATAAGTGGTGCCTCCCAGTCCTTACAGCCAACAGCATTGGGTGCCTACAGTCTGGCTGCAAAACCCACCCACCTACGCGCTCTAGGGAACAGGGAAAAGCTTTTTTCCCAGACACTCGGGCAGCAGTCAGGCTCGTTTTGATCAGCGCATGACCCCCTACTGTGGCCAGATACCTGTGCCTACTCCACCTCTGCCCATCTAGGACTGTAGATGAGAGCCTGCACCACACAGTCGGTGAGCAACGACCTGGTCACCTAAGCTGAATCCACACAAGGAAAGTAAACGGACTCCGGGGCTCACATACCTAGTAACAGCTCTAGGCATCTGGAGACAAGACATGAGAGCTTCAAAGATGCTGATAATCAAACAAGTTCACATGACCAGCCTATTTGGGCATATCAAAACAAAGCAATACAAGAAGCTAAGACACAGTAAGCAAACATAAAATATAAGAATTTATTGATAGCTTGGAAATAACAGTCAATATCAAGTCACATAAAGAGGCAGACCATGAGGGCTTCAGCAAGCCACCAAAACAATCAAGAAACCTTCCGGAGGAAGATAACTTGGAATTACCAGAGGTAGAATTCAAAAGATTAATATACAGAGCTCTTCAAGAGATCAGGAATATCAGGCAAAATGCAGAACAAGCCAAGGAACACACAGATAAAGCAATAGAGGAACTTAAGAAGGTTATACAAGAGCATAATGACAAAGTTAACAGGCTGCAAGGATCCATAGACAGCAAACAGAAATCCTAAAGATTAACAATAAAATTTCAGAATTAGACAACTCTATAGAAAGTCATAGGAGCAGAATTGAGGCAATGGAAGTCAGTGAGATTGAAGATAAACCACTTGACACCAACTTATTTGAGGAAAAATCAGATAAAAGAATTTTTAAAAAACGAAGAAACCCTAAAAATTATACGGGACTCTATCAAGAGGAATAAGCTACGAGTTTGAGTACTAGAACAGAGGGAGATAACAGAAAATAGAGAATTGTTGAAGATTTCTTGGCAAAAAACTTCCCTGATATCATGAAAGATGAGAAGGTATCTATCCAAGAAGTTCATTGAATGCCACAGATGGTAGATCCCAAAAGAAGTCACTAAGACATAATCAAACTAGCCAAAACCAAAGATAAAAAATTTTAAGAGAGGCTAGGGATAACAAAAAGTCATCTACAAAGAAGAGTCAATAAGACTAAGCTCGGACTACTCAGCAGAAACCATGCAGGCAAGAAGGTAATGACATGACATACATAAAGCCTTGAAGGAAAAAAATTGCCAGTCAAGAATTATATATTCAGCAAAACTGTCTCTCAAATATGATGGTGAAATTAGGGCATTTCCAGATAAACAGAAGGTTAGAGAATTTGCAAAAACCAAACCAAAATTACAAGAAATACTAAAGAAAGTCCTCTGGTTAGAAAATCAATAACATCAGATAACAACCCAAGACTAGAACACAGGACAGAACAACCAAATATCAACCCAGGTAGGGAAGTCACAAAAATAAATTAATGCTAAAACACTGAAAATAGGGAAATAGAGATGTCAATATGTAAAAGATGACATTAAAACAAAGAAGAGGGACTAAATGTAGTCACAGATCTTTCATATGAAGAGGAAGTCAAGGCAATATAAAGAAATAAAAGATTGGTTTAAACTTAGAAAAATAGGAGTAAATATTAAGGTAACCACAAAGGAAACTAACAATCCTACACATCAAAATAAAAAAAACATAAAGACTCAGCAAATACTAAATCAACAACAATGAAAATACATGAAGAAAAATGACTCAGCATGGAAAATTAAGGGGAACAAAGAAACTGAACAACACACAAATAAAGACATCAAAATGACAGCACTAAACTCATACATATCAATAATTATGCTGAATATAAATGGACTAAATGCACCAATAAAGAGAGAGTGGCAGAATGGATAAAAAAACACAATCTGTCTATATGCTGCCTACAAGTTAAAGACACAAACAAACTAAAACTCAAAGGATGGAAAAAATATATCAAGAAAACAGTCGAAAAAGAGCAGGGGTAGCATTATTAGTCTGACAAAACAGACTTTAAAGCAAAATCCACCACAAAGGATAAGGAAGGACACTATATAGTGATTAAAGGGTAATACGCCAGGAGGACATAACCATAATAAATATTTACGCACCCGATGACAGGGCTCCAAAATACATAAAACAAACTCTAACAGCATTGAAAAGAGAAATAGCTCCACAATAATAGTAGGAGACTTCAACACACTACTTTCGGTGAAGGACAGAACATCCAGAAAGAAGCTCAATAAAGACATGGAAGATCTAAATGCCAGAATCAGCCAACTTGATCTCATAGATATACAGAACACTCCACCCAACAGCAGCCAAGTATACTTTCTTTTCCAATGCACATGGAACATTCTCCAGAATAGACCACATATTAGGCCAGAAAGCAAACATTAACAGAATCCAAAACATGGAAATATTACAAAGCATCTTTTCTGACCATAAAGCCATAAAAGTAGAAATCAATAACAGAAAAAGCAAGGGAAAAAAATCAAATACTTGGAAATTGAATGAAACCTTGCTCAAAAACCACTGGGTTAGAGAATAAGGATGAAATAAAGAAATTCATAGAGTGAAAACACATCCTACCAGAACATATGGGACACAGCGAAAGCAGTGCTCAGAGGTCAATTTATAACAATAATTGCACACATCCAAAAAGAAGAAATGACCGAAATCAAAATATTAAGCATGGAATTCAAACAAGTAGAAACAGAGCAGCAAAAGAAGTCCTCGGGCACCAGAAGAAAGGAAATAATAAAAATTAGAGCAGAATTAAATGAAATAGAGTAGAAAAACAATTGAGAGAGTTAACAAGACCAAAAGCTGGTTCTTTGAAAAGATCAACAAAATTGATAAACTATTGGCCAAACTGACAAAAGAAAAACAGGAGAGGAAGCAAATAACCCAAATAAGAAATGAGATGGGTGATATCACAACAGACCAACTGAAATTAAAAGAATCAGAATACTATGAAAAATTGTACTCCAACAAATTTGAAAACCTAGAGGAAATGGACAAATTTCTAGAAACACACTACCAACCTAAACTAACACAAACAGACGTAGAACAACTAAATAAACCTATAACAAAAGAAGAGATTAAAAAGGTAATTAAAAAACTCCCAACAAAAAAATGCCTTGGCCCAGATGGCTTCATGGGAGAATTCTACCAAACTTTCAGAGAAGAGTTAACACCACTACTACCAGAGATATTTCAGAGCATAGAAAAGGATGGAAGACTCCCAACCACATTCTGTGAAACCAGCATAATCCTGATACCAAAACCAGGTAAAGACACTACAGGAAAAGAAAATTACAGACCAATATCCCTCATGAACATAGATGCAAAAATCCTCAACAAAACTCTAGCCAATAGAATTCAACAACATATCAAAAAAATAATTCACCGTGACCAAGTGGGATTCATACCAGGTAT